GCCTAACTAGGGGCTGGTAGAAGGCAAGCCTGAGCCGGCCCTAACTATAAGCTTTATCAAAGAGTAAAGTCTTAAGTCTAGTCTTAAATGTGGAGACCGCAACAGGAAGATGATTCCACAGGAGAGGAGCCTGATAGGTGAAGGCTATGGCTCCTGATCTACTTTTGCATGCCAGATTTCTGGCAAAGTTGAAGTGACAGACTGACTGAGGATGAATTCATGCTTCTCTGCTGACGCGTCTAACTCTTTCAGGCACCAAACAAAAAAAGACGTTCAAAAAACCCACTGACATAGACACACTCTATGTCCCTCAGTCTTTCCTTCAACAGTTGTTATCAAAATAATGTGCTTAACTAGGATGATGAGCATGGTTAACATTTTTCCTGCTACACATAAGCATGCCAGTATTGTCATTGTGTGCATGTTAGCATGACATTAGCATTCATCCATGCATTGCTGTGTTGACATACAGCCTCACAGAGCAGATAATGTGACTGCAAATTCATGGTCTTGTTTTTATCTAGTATTAAAATTACTCTAATCACTCTAATATTTATTTTTGTATTCATCACACGGCCTGCAAGTGACATTTGTGGTAACATCTGTCTTCAAGAGCATCTGACTGTTAACTAGCCTGATCTTAGAGTCTGGGTCTGCTGAGTGACAACAATGTGTAGAGCAGTGTTGTGTTGACACTCCTCCTCTTTCAAAAGAATGAGCAGAGGCTCATATTACAGTAGCCCAGAGGGAAAACACTCTCACCCGAATCCTGTCTGACTAACAATGACCAATTTCCAAGAAGGGGCAGCCTGAAATTGTTGTAATGTTTGCTTGTAAAGTTGGAGGAGTTTGCAAAAAAAGCAAGAAAATTAACACAATATATGGCTATTTGTTTGTTTGTTTGTTTTTTTAAAATCGTTTATTTAAAGTGGACCAAACAGCTTTATTATTTTATTCATTTATTAGACTATCTTTTGTTTTTAATTAGGCCAGTTGACACTTGTGGGTTTATCACAATATGGTAAAAATATATTCAAACTACACATTTAGGGTGTGCAGCATCAAACTGAGCTTGGTCATGAGGATACAGCATGTTTTCAGAGGTAAAAATCAAACAAGCCCACATTTATATTTTTATTTTGCTGGATGCTATCAAAATAAAGTAGAACATATACTGTAGGATTTTTAAAGGTTCTGTATGTAACTTTCCCAAAATCCTTGATTCTAGTGAGCCCTCTTTCCGAGGCTAAGTGAACTGCAGTCAGCATCCAGTTGCTCGCACACTGATGCACACACTCCAAAGCCATGCACAAGCAGCCAGAAATCAGCCAAAACAGTGACAAATACAAGACTGACCGTGACTGACCATCATCATGTTGATAGGGTCTGCAGTGTTTATCCATCCAAAAATGATTCGAATCATTGGGAAAATGCGCATTAAAAGAAATACGAATCCTGTGTGTTTCCATTAAATGTACGGACTTTGGCAGAACCAGAAGCAAAACAAGTCTCGCATTCTTCTTCTTCTATGTTTTCTGGCGGTTGGAAACCAGCTTGTAAATGCATTACCGCCTTCCCGACCCGGAGTGTGGATATCACCATGGAGAGAATCAACCAAAACCCGGCTAAAGCGAGCGTATTTTAGTTTGTGTGAATCAGGGGATTTTAATTCGAATTTTGGCGTTTCCATCATAATTTTCCGATGCGATACTTCTAGATGCGCATCTAAACAGGCTGATGGAAACATGGCTAATGACTCCATGATAATTTCTGTGCAACGTCATCAGTCAGTGCAATATGACATTAGAGAAAATTGATTTTTTGTGTTAGTCTGACTAAAACCAGACTTTTAAAATACATGTAAACATATTAATCCGACTGAATTCATACAAAATTGAATTTTTCAAAGTAAGGCTAACAAACACAGATAATGTGCATGGGAGTCGAATTCCTTCTGTATATAGTCAATGCGACCCCAATCTGGAAATCCATCTGTAAAAAAAAGAAAAAAAAAAAAGAATTTTTTTTTCCCTTTCATCTACAATGTAAATTGCAGAATCTGTCTTGAGAGATTAATGCGACCCAAACTGGTTGAGGCCCTCGGCGCATACTCCACAGTTTCTGCCCCAGGCTTTCAACCATAAGTCGAAAGCATTAAATGTGTAACAAAAGAAGAAACTGGTAACAACATGGCAAAATCTACATCCAGAGCCATGCATTTTTTGGGAGGAGGAAATGTATAGAGCTGTAAAGTTTGCACCAGTTGTACCAGTTGTACTAGTTTACCTCTACCTAAGTGTAGCTAACTTGTTTGTTGAATGTCTGGTCTGTGACGTAATAGATCAGTGGGAAAAAAAAGTCCAGTACTAACAAGCTGAAAGGGAGCATATCGGGGACATATCGCCACCTATTGTAGCGGAGTCAGACATACTGCGGTCAATAAATTGTTTCCATTCCAGTGCTTGTATAGCTACTGGAACAAGGACAGTTGTCTAATTATGGTTATGTTTATTTTATTTAGAAAGGTATAAGGCTATAACCATAGCTTGACTTAACTGTGCCTGTAAACGTACTGACTGAGATGCACGCACAACTGGGGGGCAGAAAGCCGCACTCTTCACAGCATTTCTAGCAGAGCCAAGCTAAATATTGAGCAGTAAACTGCACCAAACACAGAAAAGATGGATGGATAAGATTTAATATTCTGAGGGGATCACACCCCCTGCTGGTCCCAGACCTAGCAAGCTAACGTTAGCTGTCACACACATCTCATGTCTTGTGCAGAATGTTTACGGTAGCTGCCAAAATTCTTTTAAATGCATCAGGTCATGAAGTAGTTTTATTGTGGACATTTTTACTTTGACATAGTGACACTAACATTGCAACCATGCTCCTGATATTGTCAGATTAGGAGAAGATATACAGGCTCAACAACCAACAAAACCAGAGGCTGGTACTACAAAGCTAGTTTGACAAAGCTAGCATATCTTTTGGTTATCTGGCTTCATTAACCCCATCATGAATCTGGTTATCAAGTAGTTCAGCCAACTCTGGGTTTTCCTACCCAGCCATGAGCTTGTTCATTTCAGAGAGGAGGGTTTTTTAATTATGAGCGACATTATCAGAACTACGAATGAAGTACTTCATACGTTAGAAAGCAAGAAAGCTAAGTTAGCCAGTTAGCTGTAACTAACCTCTGGTGTTTGTTGCTTCATAACTTTAGCTGATAAAGTAATTCGCAAATGGCAAGCTAACTAATTTACCAGCTAGATAAGCCCTGGAGACTGGATGAATTAGATGACGTTAACCATTCAAGACAGTATTATGCTGCGTTAACTAGCTAGCAATTTGTCCAAGTTATTAAGCAAGGTAAACTAAACATTGGCTAAACTGCTTATCAGAAAAAAAATGAGACAAACTAGCACTGCATCAAACCCCCAGGAACAGCCCTGGGCTCTGAAGCCAATTTAACATGGTAGTCAAAAGTGGAACTACATCGTCCGGTCCGTCGCATGATATGGGGCCCAATAAATTTTTCTGCCTAGACTTACACTGTGAAAGAGACTTATGTAAATCAGTGGATACATTTTTCTGAAGGTCAAAACTGCCACGAAATGACTCATTTTACTATCATGATTTGATCCAGTCAGTCTGAAAACATTTTGAAAGTCTTGTAGAGCTGCATGATTAACTTATTTTATCCCCATTCAAGGTAGTGGAGAGCTAAACCAGAATTTAGCTGTTTAGCTAGCAAAAGTTAGAGCTGCACTCAGCCATGCTCAGCTGCCATAAGGCTCTCGTGCGCTTGCTCGATGGGCCCCATAATGTGGAACATTCGGGTGATTTCATACTGTGGAATTAGAGCTTTTTTTGGCCTCATGTGCCACTGAGCAGCTTTCATAGGAAAGAACAGGCCCACTTCCAATGCTGTATCCAGGTCTCTTTCATTCCTGCCACCCATGGACCCTCCGCCTCACTCCCTGCTGCTAGGACCCTATTTACCCAGGAGAGGACAGCAGCTTGGACCTGCTATAGCCACTCAAATTCAGCCACCCCAAAAACCAGCCTGGGGACTAGTGGCCTGTGTGGCTTGGGTGTAATCCATGTAGCTACAGAGGTTTGCTGATCTGGACTCAGGGCTGCTGAGAGGGCAGTCCGGGGTCAGACCCCAGGTGCTCGGACCCTCAGTCTTGCACCGGCTGAATTCAAGTTGTTACAGGGCGCTAAGTGAAGGCCCATCTCTTCTAGGCTGCCACTGCAAAATAACTGAAACACAGCATGTGATGACCCATGTTGTGGTGGGTGACAGTCAGTGGTTGAGGTTAGCGGACTCCATTTCTTAGCCAACGTTAGCTAGTGTCACACACTGTTAGTGTTGTTGTACAGCTGAAGATATGCAAGGCACAGGTTTGCAAGACATCATACCAACTGCAGGTGTTTACTCTTATCCCAAAATCTTCACACACTTTTACATTAGTGACATTTGTTTAGAATATGTTTTCATATTTATCTTGTTCAGAAATACATTTAGTCAACAGAATGCAGCTGTACAACACCACAAGGGAAAAGTAGTAAATAAATCAAGAGCATCTGACTGTTAATTTTATACTCTGGGTCAACTGAGTGAAGACAGTGTGTAGAACAGTGTTGTATTAACCCTCCTGCACTTCCAAAGCTGACGCTCAAATTACAGCAGCCCCGAGGGAAAACCAAACTGACTCACCTGAATCCTGTCTGGCTATCAACAAGGAGGGTCGACCTGTTTGTTTGTAGGGCGTTGGAAACGTCCAAAAGCACGACAAATACAAAAAAGAATGGATTTGTATAGAAGTTTTAGTCTATTTTATTCATTTTGGACAGCTTGATTGTGTATTTATTCAGTCATCATCATTTTGTAATCTAGTCACACCTTTACATCAGCCCACCTGAGGCAAGGTGGTGCCTTCAGCGCTGAGTCGTGCGCATGCGCGTGTCCTCCTCATCACTAGGATATTATAAGGGCAGCCTGGGGAGCGGAGCGTGGTTCAGTCTATAGTATCTGGACCGGACCGAGGCGGGCAGGAAGCACACTCGCAAGGCGGAGGAGATGGAGGACAAAGAGAAAAAGAAGAAGGATAAAAACTCATCCAAGAGCGACAGAGTCACTCTGAAAAAAGAAATTGGACTTTTGAGCGCTTGCGCTATTATCATCGGTAAGTGTGTGACAGCTTTTGTCTTAAATCGTGTGTTCATGAAGAGCGGGGTCGATCCGGGAATCTGAGCTACGAGAGAAAACGTGTTTGAGCAGCCGGCTAGAAGAATTACTATTGTAACGTGGCGGGTGTGCAGTTGTACCTAGTTGTTAAAGTTACAATACCATGACACACAGCAGGAGACAGTAACAGAATGGGTCCGTTTTTATTGGGATCCTGATGTACAGTGAGGACACTGTAGGGAAATGAATGTGACTTGTCGTTTAGAGATTGTTTAACAGATATTGGCACAAACCGCCAAAATACGCACAGATAGAGTCGCTTTTACGCACGGATGCTCCACGTCTGATGTCTCGGTCCAGTTTTAGGTTTTGTATGGAAACTGTTGCATCAGTCGCGATGGTCTGAATATGGACATGCCTACGTGGCTGGATCTCTTCATGTTGAACTTGAAAGGCATGCAGAGGCAAAATACAGCCTCCATATGTTTCTGTGGGACTGTTGAGCATTAACACAGTTACACTGCCAGGATCAGGGGCTCCATTTCCCCTGTATTTAACTGAGTAAAGCAAGGCATTAATGTTGTTCAAACCAAAAAATGCACTCTTCCTGCACATTAGAGAAATGCAGCTTTAGAGAGAGAAGGTCTACATGTAGGAAGTTGCGTTGTTACAAACGGTTTCCTGTACATTACCATGTGCTGAGCAGTGATGGAGTGTTACAGAACCACCTCATGTGCAGTGGTAACTCAACAGGTTGCAGTGCTATAATAATCTGACAGTCATGCAGAGGGTTCCCCAAGCACCACATCCTGCTGATAACCAGCCTGTGGCCAGACTCATATCAAGCCTCTATGGGGGTGAAGGGAGGACAGGCTAATGACTTCATGGAAATGAATGTTGTAATGAGGTCATGACTTTATTTTTGTGTGACACATTGTGTTCTTGGATTTGGTTTATTAGAGATGATTTAACATACAGTACAGGCCAAAAGTTTGGACACACCTTCTCATTCAATGCGTTTTCTTTATTTTCATGACTATTTACATTGTAGATTCTCACTGAAGGCATCAAAACTATGAATGAACACATGTGGAGTTATGTACTTAACAAAAAAAGGTGAAATAACTGAAAACATGTTTTATATTCTAGTTTCTTCAAAATAGCCACCCTTTGCTCTGATTACTGCTTTGCACACTCTTGGCATTCTCTCCATGAGCTTCAAGAGGTAGTCACCTGAAATGGTTTCCACTTCACAGGTGTGCCTTATCAGGGTTAATTAGTGGAATTTCTTGCTTTATCAATGGGGTTGGGACCATCAGTTGTGTTGTGCAGAAGTCAGGTTAATACACAGCCGACAGCCCTATTGGACAACTGTTAAAATTCATATTATGGCAAGAACCAATCAGCTAACTAAAGAAAAACCAGTGGCCATCATTACTTTAAGAAATGAAGGTCAGTCAGTCCGGAAAATTGCAAAAACTTTAAATGTGTCCCCAAGTGGAGTCGCAAAAACCATCAAGCGCTACAACGAAACTGGCACACATGAGGACTGACCCAGGAAAGGAAGACCAAGAGTCACCTCTGCTTCTGAGGATAAGTTCATCCGAGTCACCAGCCTCAGAAATCGCAAGTTAACAGCAGCTCAGATCAGAGACCAGATGAATGCCACACAGAGTTCTAGCAGCAGACCCATCTCTAGAACAACTGTTAAGAGGAGACTGCGCCAATCAGGCCTTCATGGTCAAATAGCTGCTAGGAAACCACTGCTAAGGAGAGGCAACAAGCAGAAGAGATTTGTTTTGGCCAAGAAACACAAGGAATGGACATTAGACCAGTGGAAATCTGTGCTTTGGTCTGATGAGTCCAAATTTGAGATCTTTGGTTCCAACCGCCGTGTCTTTGTGAGATGCAGAAAAGGTGAATGGATGGATTCCACATGCCTGGTTCCCACTGTGAAGCATGGAGAAGGAGGTGTGATGGTGTGGGAGTGTTTTGCTGGTGACACTGTTGGGGATTTATTCAAAATTGAAGGCACACTGAACCAGCATGGCTACCACAGCATCCTGCAGCGACATGCCATCCCATCCGGTTTGCGTTTAGTTGGACGATCATTTATTTTTCAACAGGACAATGACCCCAAACACACCTCCAGGCTGTGTAAGGGCTATTTGACCAAGAAGGAGAGTGATGGAGTGCTGCGGCAGATGACCTGGCCTCCACAGTCACCGGACCTGAACCCAATCCAGATGGTTTGGGGTGAGCTGGACCGCAGAGTGAAGGCAAAGGGGCCAACAAGTGCTAAACACCTCTGGGAACTCCTTCAAGACTGTTGGAAAACCATTTCAGGTGACTACCTCTTGAAGCTCATGGAGAGAATGCCAAGAGTGTGCAAAGCAGTAATCAGAGCAAAGGGTGGCTATTTTGAAGAAACTAGAATATAAAACATGTTTTCAGTTATTTCACCTTTTTTTGTTAAGTACATAACTCCACATGTGTTCATTCATAGTTTTGATGCCTTCAGTGAGAATCTACAATGTAAATAGTCATGAAAATAAAGAAAACGCATTGAATGAGAAGGTGTGTCCAAACTTTTGGCCTGTACTGTAACTATTTGTTATTGTACACTACAGATTGTTCTCTTGCATGTTTTAGAGTGCAGGCTAACACCTGTTTAGGGACTGAATTCAGCATTGTGCCATTTTCATTTCAGTTATTTTGCTTCCTCAAAACATTCTGGCTGGTTACTCAAAATATATATCCATATTCACTTTTTGGTCACATTATTATTTGAAGAATGAGCATGCAGGATGAAAGGACAGGACATATGGAATTTGGAGGACAGGATAAATGACAGAGTGTATGGGTTTGCCCTGAATCCTTACATTCCTCACTAATTGCTTTTAACTCTGAAGTTACAATTTAAGATCATCCTGGAGTACAGTATGCCTGTGGTTTTCCAGCTTTCATTTATCAGCCTCAGTGAATGACCTACTATATGTGTGGCTATACAACAGGGGTAGCAGAGTCATAAAACAGACGTTAACTGGCTGTCTTTGGTGCCAGCTACATGTCATAGGGCATGAGGAATGTGCCAGTGAAAACATACAGCACTGCCATGACTCCCATAACTCCCAAGTGTATGTCTGCCGGCGAGATCACCAAATGATAAGGTCCTACAGGACACCACGAGTAGGCGGACCCCTCATGGTAAAAGGGATTGCGGAATGAACCAAGATGACTGGAGGTTTTAGACAGATGTCAGACATTATAGCCTGTTTAACTGTAATTTCCACAGCAGTTTTTTTACAATGTAAATTACCCCCTGTGCCTGCAGCTCACAGATCCTTATGTTTTACAGTATAAATTTATGATATAAAAGTGGAAAAATGGAAAAGTATGTCACTGAGCAAACTAGTACAGACCACCCAGAACAAATAAGAGAGGCAATTTTTTCATTAAAGCAACAAACTGGTGGAAAATGAAGAACAATCTGTGACGTGCGAAGAGTATTAAAAAAGGAAGTGCTGTTATCATTTTAAGAGCTTATCTTTACAACCACAGTCCCGCCTATGGTGCTTTGATAGAGACTGATATTGTCCCAGTTAATTCTTAATCTTTGGCTCGCCTGCCTCAAATTTTTGTTCATTTGGCAAGCAGTAGCTGCACAAATCCTTTGCTAAACTTTCAAAGTACACCCACAGTTCTGACTATGCTTTGCAGTATGTCAGAGAGCCTTAAGGGTTATACACTTGGTCTAATTTAATATTGCTGGTGTGAAATGAGTGCTCAGATCAGTCAGGTTGATACTGACCACTTGCCAAGTCTTTTCTGTGAAGCACAGATGGAGTGAAGCCTGTGCAGTCAGTACACACATACGACTTGAGTCATGCTACTACCCACCAGATACAGCCTACTCACTTATTCAACACCCCACTCCAGGGGGGGTGGACTATTGACTGCTGCCTATCTGCGTGCAACTACTACTGCTAACATGTAGGGCTAGAAAGTAAACCAGATTTATCAGGTGACAGATAATATTAATCTATGACCAAACTGAATATATCACATTTAAAAATGACAGTGACATCTAGGTTAATCAGTGTTCCCACATTTTACTAGCTCAGTCTCAATTCCAGCGAGCACCTGCACATTGTTTTCCCTCAGGACAAGTCTGTTAACGTCACTCTGTGTGTCGTGCTTGTCAATACTAGTGGGACAGATATGCCTGTTAGTATTGGTAGGACATATTTATGAAGAGAGAGAAAGACTGCATGACTGTCAGTACATTTTCCCATAGAAGCTTACAGATTGAAATTAGAGTGTTTTTTTTTTTGTTTCATACAGGAGGGTGTTCGGGGATTTCCTCAGTCTTTGCCATGATTTAAATAAATTGGAGGTTAATCTGAGGAGACATTTTCACAACAGCGCTCAGCTATAGTGCAGTGCGGGGAGGCTGAGAGGGTCAGTAGGACTCTGATTCACGCTTTCAGCCTGCAGTGCCAAACTTTATGACATAACAAACACAATGCAGGCATTATATAACGACTCTGCATCTCTCCACGGCCTCCACAATCAAATCTGACAGTGATAAATGCACCGTTCGGGCCTCTCTTTTCCCTTTGCATCATTAGGGAGCATTCAGAGCTGCTCTGACGGGGAAACTGCGATGGCGTGCCTCACTGGGTTTTCACAGTTAAAATGTTTACAGTGGAGTGGACAGAGTCATATTTTTTCCCAAAGTTCTCTAAAGAGAAGGAAAAACAAGGACAGCAGTGCAAAACATGCTTTGCTTGGACAGCTGCTGTTTGGTTACTTTCTTGTGCTTGTTAGTTCTAGTTTGTTTTTGTTTTTTCATTTCGTAGGGGGGTTATACTTGCCAGGCTGGATTTCAACTCATGACATGGTGGCGTATTAACATGTGCCTTAGCCAACTGAGCCACCAGGGGACTTCTGTTTATCACTGTTTGTGGTGCAGCTGAGCCAGGACCTCAATGAGCCATGTTTCCACTACTCCATGAGGCCAAATCGGATTAACCAGTTCTTCTATCAGATATTAACTATTGTTGTGTCATTACATGTCTGGGACAGGTGTTGCCTCAATCTGCTCTGTTGTTTGCTATCGAAAATAAATGATACAAGCAGCCTAGCTAGTTAAACAAAAATAATTCTGCTGCAGCTGTACTGATGGGTTCCTTCCACAGCTAGGATTGCCCTCTGAAAGTCAGACATTTGAATCATCAGTCGGAGACCCCTCAGTCGACTGATTGCTGCAAGTCGAGCGGTCAGGTTTTTTTGGCCAGTCAGTGTGCATTGTAGTGGAGACCTTTTGGTCCCTGGATGTTGAACATTTCAGCGTAGTTAGCTTGTTTGGCAAATTCTGTGATTGTAACTGCCACACTGAACGCCCCACGAAACCCCATTCAAACTCTCAAACTTATGGAAAGAAAAGGACAGAATTGTTGAATATTGGTATTGAATAGCCAAATCTGATTCGACTGGCTTAATCCTGATTCGGGTACAGCCCTATCCACAACTGTTGCATATATGTCCAACACAGTCTTACAGAAATACGTGAAATACACACAACCTCTTGACAACACACAACTTGTTAGTTCAGAAAAGATGGTGGTTTTGGTTCAAATAACTACTGCTGATTGCATAACTAGGGTCACTTTTGGTTTCACACGGGACATGAACAATGGTCTCCTGGTTAAAAGTCCATGTTTTTTTGACCCATTCACCAAACCTCTTGCCTCCCCTATGCTGACTTTCCTCACTTTTTATACTTAGGTCCTGTATCCAACATGACAAAAGATCCCTGTTGACTTTTCTTTGAGATTGTTTTTGCTGCCAGCACATAATTTTAACACATTTCGTGCGAACCCCAACATACTGTTCATATCCATTTCACGTATTTCTAAGAGTTGGGGCTAATATTTCTTAGATCACTGTGCAGCTTTTTCCACTTTACCATTTGGGCTTTTTTCGCTGACGAAAATGTAGGCTACATTACAAAAGAAAAAAATCCAAAGCAGTGGACTTTAACCTTTTTTTTTTTACTAAAATTAGGACATTTATGCAGGTTGTTTAAATACAGAAAAACCTGCTAAAAATAGGCAACAGCTTTTCCCATTGCCAGTAGATGAGTATAATTTCCTGTTTTTTATCTGGTGTGTCATGTTTTACATTACGTACGCAATAGTAGGAAGCACCATGGAGTTCACCAAAAATGTTGTGGCGGCTATTTCTTTTTTCTTTGTTCTTTTTAATTTTTCAGTCTTTCTGACAAACATGGTGCTGACTAATTTGGAACAACTTCTGAGCACTGCTAGGATGGAGACAGATGGAATATATGACTGAGATGACAGAGTCCCAGAGGTTACCGGTGGTCATGCCAGAAAAGGGGAGAAAATTAGTGTGTGAAAATTAGTGGGGTGTCATGTTTCCATCACTGCTGATTGGAGCTGAAGCCGATAAAGACCTGTGGCTACTGAAGCGTCATTTCTCCTGGAAATGAATGCTGATTGTAACTTTACCCACTAAAGACAAAAGCCAGGTGTTAGTGGGTGTTAATGTTTATTGTTTTGTCCAGTGGGAATGGGGCTCTAGTGTATAACTGACAACACTGACAGACATGACGGTTTGTTAAAATTCAACTGCCCCTGTGATTTAAATGTAAAAACCTGATCACATGGCACTAGTTTTTATTATTAACCTGCATTTATATTTGTGCTGTCAGGCGACTAAACAAGCTTAAACAATGATTGATGGTTTCAGTGCAGCAGTCTAAGAATCATTAAATAATTAGACATAGATGTCTTTTTTTTTGTCTCTTTTTTTCTGGTCTGATTTACGAGATAATTCACTATTTAATAGTCATGCTATCATCTGACAGCAAAGAAAAAAATAAGTCAACACATCACTGAAGAGACAGAACAGAGCTTTGACCTGCTGAGACTATGTTGATGTCAAGGGCATAGGTTTGCGTATTGGCGGTAGGGACGTGTCCCTAACAATATTTTGCGAGGATAGAATTGTCACTACCAATATTTGGGTGAATTCATTTGCATTGTCTTCATTCTAACAGTTCTGTGCATGAAAATAGGGGGCAAATTGCATCTTGTATTGATCACTAAGGAACAGTGCATTATATTATTCAGTATGGGACGATCATGTATTTTGTCTGATCAAAAGAGCTGCACACTGTCGTTAAACTTTGTCTCCTTCAAAGAGAGCCCCACACAGTGTTCTGTGTCTGTCAGATGGTCTGAAGAGGATACTACCGTATCAGCAGAGCATAATGAGGCGTTATGATTCATTCTCATTCAATTACACAACTATTACAACTTTTTTCTCAAAATAGTATAAATGTATTCTCAACCTCTCAGGGAACACAGATATCTGGGATATGTTCTAAATGTGCAGAAAGTGTTGAACAAAAATAAACTAATGTCAACATGTGTGTTGAGTCTGCAGAGATAAGATTTAATGAGAAAAGCTGGTCTACAGGAGAATAAATATTTGAAAGCAATACACAATGCCTGAGAGCCTTGCTGCATTATATTCCATTACAGTCTGTTCTGAATTGTCACATATCGCCTGAACTTTGTCTTTTTCTTTACGTAAAAAAGGGACACATGAGCGGCTGTGGCTCGGGAGGTACAGTGGGGTCATCCACTAGTCGGAAGATCAGTGGCTCAATCCCCAGCTCCTCCAGCCACATGTCGAAGTATCCTTGGGCAAGATACTGAACCCCAATTTGCTCCCAATGGCCGTGAATGTCTAAAAACTGAGTAGCAGGTGGCACTTCGTACTGTAGCCTCAGCCACCAGTGTGTGACTGTGTTTGTGAATGGTGAATGTGACTCATGGTGTAAAAGTGTGTTGAGTGGTCGAAAGACTAGAAAGGCGCTATACAAGTGCAGGACCATTTACCATTTATCATAAATAAAGACATATACCTCCATAAACTGATGCCAAAACTTCCTCAGAAGTAGGAATTTAAGTGTTTTATGCTCAAAATTTGCATGAGGAGGTTCCCTGGATCCACCCCTCAACTGCCACCAGTGTTGAAATTAAACCTATGCCCTTGGCTGACATGTGCAGTTGTGAAGACATCTCCACAGCCAACTACACTCATTTCCAAATGATGGCTACGACACCAAAGAGAGTGGAGACAAAGAGAATTTTGGGTCTTACTACCGTCCTTATACTTGCACTCTTTTTTTTTTCTTCTGTAATCCAAAATTTAGCATGAAATTTGCAATACCTACTGTTAGGGTGCTTTGACCTCTGACCCTGGACCTCTTGACTTGGTTGATACAAACCAACCAAACACTTCAAATACACAATGTAATAGTCCAAAAACTAAGCCAGATCAAAAACAGTTTCACAGCACACCAATAGACAGACACAATGTTAATGATGGAGGTGCAGTATTTTGTCATTTAATGACTCACAGGTCATTATATGAGACAACAGGCAGTTGAGACCTTCTCTGGTTGGACTGTTTAAACAAGGCTCTTGGGACTATTTGGCAGCTGTTTTGTTTTTTCTTTGTCAAACCAGGTTTTGTTTTCAGCCTTTGAGTTTGTTGTTTGTCAGCAGCTCATTCCCGCTGCTTTGCACTGTGCTCATATGGTGCACACTGCTGTTATTGGGATGGTGTTGTTGTGGAAGCATAGTGCTCACCCTCCAGTTCCCTCCGGTCAACACAGTTAGCTGTCAGTACTTTTGCCATTGTTTAACACGGCTTGCTCAGCAACCTCCATGTAGACAACTAGGTCCAGACAACTCCTGAGTGTCTCATGGAGAAACTGTAAATGTAATTTTAGGTCTATCTTACAAAAGAGGTTTTAATCCCAGTATGACTTCTGAGTTAATATACGTTGTTTGACAAGCCGCTGGCAAGTACCAATTGTAAATAACCTCCTTAATCTTTGTTTTTTTTTCTCTCAAGGTAACATCATTGGCTCTGGGATATTCATCTCACCTAAAGGAGTGTTGGAGCATGCAGGCTCAGTGGGGCTGTCACTCATCGTCTGGGTATGTGGAGGGGGGATCTGTGCCCTCGGGTCCATGTGCTATGCTGAACTGGGTGTCACCATCCCAAAGTCTGGAGGAGACTATTCATACGTGACGGAAATCTTTGGAGGGCTAGTTGGGTAAGTACTGTTGTTGTTTTTATCTGTTTATCCTTTTTTAAAACTCTGCTGTGTCTGAGCTACAACAGCAGTTTCTAATACAGCGAATTCTTATATCGACTGTGTTGGTCTCCAGCAGGCGTACTCACTTGGTAAGGATTATACTGCAACAGTCCAGGATCTGTACACGAGGGTTGGTTTAGAAATACTGCCTGTCTGGAACCAATCACCTCTGAGAGTCTTGTGACTTTCATGATGTCATGTGACATGTCATCTGATCACAGAACAGTATTGTAAGACTGAGAAGGTCAAACATGTGTTGCAGTGTGAAGCGTGTGGAGGCATTAGTTAAGTTCTGTGTGGCTCGTTCATGTGAACATGATGAAAATAAAACAATGAAAAATCATATAAAATAAAGGTCAAAGCTCACAGTAAGATAAGGCATACTGTATTCTGGTTTCAGTGAGTTTCCACCTGCTAGTGCTTTTTTCACTGTCTCCTTCTCATGTCTGAGCACCAGTCTCTTGTAAGTGATGCCAATGCCTTGGAGCAAGTCACTACCAACCCCATCTGCTGCAGTAGAGCTGCATGGAAACCATCAGCAGAAAACTGTAGTTGAGCTGAGCAGCTCTTGGTATAAGAGAGACTGTGACATGAAAGACAGCAGGAGAGGGCTGTTTTACTCAAATATGAAAATCCTGTGTGTTTTGTCTCTTCGTCCTCTAGCTTCCTGTTGTTATGGAGTGCCGTCCTCATCATGTATCCAACCACGCTGGCTGTCATTGCTCTCACCTTCTCCAATTACGTCTTGCAGCCAGCCTTCCAGAACTGCCTGCCTCCTTACATCGCCACCAGACTCCTCGCCACCATCTGTATCTGTGAGTCACGCACACAGCCAAAAGCCTTCTGAAAGTCCAGTTGATTTTCAGTCATGATTCATGAGTTCTTCTTAGTCTATTTTTGGGTCTTTGCTGTGATGTTTCCAAACTGTGCCTCCCATAAATAATCTGTTAATCAGTGTATCCAAACTCTTAGGTCTGTGGCCTCTGATTTTCTATCGATGCGGCTTGGGTTTCTATAGGTAGGGCTTTTTTCTTTCTGATCAGCCAGGGTAACTACTGCTGCAAGTCTTAACCACACAGTTCCTCCACTGATCCCAGATAAACTGAAACATTAAGTCCTGTGCAGTGGAGCTTTCCAGGGCAAAGGCTGGACACTGGATACTTCTTTTCATTAAATTTAACGTCCGATGCCAGAGTCAGAATTTTAAGTAGCAAACCTTGGCAGGATTCCCTCCTTGTGAGGTTTCTGAAATGCAGTCAGTCATCTTGTGCCACATCAAAATAGCAGCACTCTCTGTAAACTACATGCAGCAATATATGTTAAATTCTTCAAAACACCCTTAGGTTTCATTTGAATTCTTCCATGTCAGGAAATTTTTGAAAGGAGAAGAGCTTTGCCACTGCAATGCACAGGGCATATACAGCCTGACAGCTAGGAATGTATGACCTTTCACTTCAGGAACACAGCAAACAGCAAATGTACAGGCACAACAAACAGTGTCAGAGATTATTTAATAACTCACTGATGTCTAAACAAAGATCAGTAAGGCTCTAATGAATTCTAAACTGTAAAGGGCAATCCACTTTATTTGGCCCAGACAGTACACGTAGTGACTCTGTTAGTATCTTCACATCTACATCATTGTTGTTAATGGGTAGGGCACTTTTGGTTGATATATGGGGAACTGCCCATTAGGTTCGACAGCCCATTGTTCCGACCATATTAAACTCATTGTTCTGAAGTCCGTTCTGAAATCATGATGATGCCTTGTGGTTAAGGTCTGGTTAGGTTTAGGCACAAAAACCACTTGGTTAGGGTCAGGAAAAGATCATGGTGTGGGTTAAAATGAAAAAGAAAGTGACAAACACATAAGCTGTGAGCCCGCTCTGCCTCAAGCCAGTCGCGGCCCACCATACGCCCGCCGCGAGCTGTTCAGCACCGCGGACAGTCGGACTAATGGGATGTCGAACCAATGACATGGACCCGATATATGTATGTTACATTTATATGGTACAGTTACATTTTGTGTGGTAGGACTTGAGTTTCAGCACACTGAAGAGCAAATAACCATGTCCTAAATAGCTGTCTTGCAGAAAAAGCTCAACATTTTTGGAAAAATCAGTACCATTTTTATGGTAACCCAGCTGTCCATCCAGGTAGCTCAACATAGCATAGTATTTTTGTGCACACCCTGCTCCAGTGCATGCACTACTTTTTCACATACTTGGAATGACATGAAAAATGATTAAACCAAAAAAGTTTTGAGAGTGAGGAAGCTATAAATTACCATCAGTAGAAGAAAATAACACCTAGAATGACAGGTGTGGGTTTCCCTGTCTGAGGTCTTTCTCAACCCACATTAGAAAAATGTCTGTGAAACCATCATCAGACCTTGAGTTATGTGAGGGACCTATGACTTTAGTCATTGAGGCAAAGGAAGTGTTACTGATTTGCCGTACTTCTTCATATCATATAAATGAATGCCTAAAGTTATTTATTTTACAACCACTTGATATTACTTTTATTACAGAAGTCTGCTGCTAAATTTGGCATTATGTGTAACTGAACTCCAGTTTAATACATCAGCAGTTTAAAAAATGTGTAAACTACGTCGTTAAGGCAGACAAGCGGGGCAATAGTTGGAAAACAAATGGAGCTGTAATTAATACTGAAATTTGTTAGTCCTAAGAAATCATAAGTCATTTTTTAAAGGGGCAAATGTTCACCATAAGCTAGCTCTGGCTCCGTTAAATTTAACAATATGCTAACGGAGCAAGGCAAGCTAACTGCTATCGTGCTCAGGTTAAAAAGGAAAACAACAATGCTTTGAGACGGCTGTCAGAGATGGCAGAGGTATGATCACGTTACACTGTATGAGGTGGTGTGTTCCACGTTTTATTTCCCCGTCACTCTAGGAAAGAGGGTTAGTGTACGTTAGCTAACAATAACCTTTGGAAAATGCCAGTTCTGGTTCAGCACCGGAAGCAGCTCCTGTAATTCACACAAGGTATCATGGAGGCTAGGAGTAAGGTAGATACATACAGGATGTGGTTACGTATAGTATGGCCTGTTTGGGTATAAAGTGGTGAGTGAAATGTACTGCACATTTTGTATTTATTTTCTATTATATTATTAATATCATAATTTATGTTCATTACATGAAAGAGGACATGCATAAACACAGTTCTTGTAGGACCTCAGAGAGGACTTTGGAAACAGCAATATTTAGGATTTAAATGATAACCCAAAAACAACAACACAGATTTTTGATTGAATGTTGACTGATGAGTTTTTGTCAGAGGCTTTGCTCAGCCTCTCAAAACTGACAAGCTGGTTGTTGTTGTTGGCCAGGTTTGTCAGGTTGATTGGCTCAAGAAAGTTTGAGTAAACAGAGGAGGAGATGTGGATGACTTGTGGCTGATTTGACTGGAAAAAGTGCATTAGGCATCTTATAAATCAGTTTCAGAGGATCCCATTGGTGTATTGATACTGCGACTGGCTGCATTCCTGTTGGCTGCTTGCTGCCACCCAGGTCTTCTCTCTCTCTACCATCATAACATGTTGGTTCACAGTATCACACTTCAGTTGCTTTAGACATCCAAGTCATCTGACGGTGACAGTGACAGAGGTAAACGTCAGACTACCTTCCTTTCCTAGATTAACCCCATGAGCACCTGATCTTAGAGGAAAAGGTCAGAGCACATTGAAGAAATACTGAGTATTGAATGATGGTAGATTAAAAATAGGTGCTAGGAAAACAAACAACAAACAAGCAGTCCCTGTCCAGACGGACTGTCCATCCAGCAGGATAAACCTGAGCACTCAGTGACCAACATGTTGACCACTCACTGGTAACATGTTGGTCACCCAGTGACCAACCAACATGTTATGAACCAACATGTTATGATGGTAACATGTTGGTCACCCAGTGACCAACATGTTAGCAGTGAGTGGTTAACTGGTGGGAATAGCTGTGTGAATGTAAAGCCATGGAAAAGAAAAATTACAAAGTAAAAAAAAAAAAACTCTGCAAACCAAGCCCAGCTACTTTGATCCCATGCCTTGAAGATATTTTGATACTGTGATAGTTCACAGTGTGCTGACGGCTGTCATTCTCATTTGATGATTCCTTATGAAGTGACGTGCTCTATTTTACAGCCTCTAATCTGAGCAGCGCCTTCCCTTGAAATGCTTTACAGTACAGCAATCTGTATTAAAATAGCCGGTGGCAAAAGCAGACTGTGCATGTATCTGGTCAACAAGCCAGCCAGTTTGGTCTTGTCTGAACTGGATGGAGAAACCGGGGAATGACGAGAGAGGGCTGTGCATCTGTGCCTGTGAGCGTGTGCACGTGTTGGACTGGAGTTAGCATTTACAGAGCACACCAGTGGATTGCCACTATTTTTGGCGACAGAATGCTACAACTGCAGTTAGGCCAGGGGCCCCCTCTGTGTGTGAGTGTTTTAATGTATTCTTCTTTTGAGTGTGGTACGAGTGTGTGTATGTGCGTGTGTGTCAGTATCAGTGTCAGACTATATAATGGTGCCAGCCTTTGTGGACGCCACTAATGAGAGGGTGTGGCTACGTCATTGTGCATTGTTTCACAGTGGTTACCGTGATGCTCCTGTCACTGAGCACCATGGAAACAGGAAATGGGCAGGACACCTTGCACATCAAGGAAGGGAGATCCCATTGGCCAGCTGACTTTCTGGATGGCCGTTTGATGTTCCTATTGGCTGCTTGACACTGTCTCTGTCCTCCTCTCTGGTCCTCAGTACAGATTATCATCTATCTGTAATCAGCAGTTATATAAGCGTCAATCCCTATGTCTGACACTTTATCAGCAACTTGTGAGCACGAAGAGTGTCAACTCATAATAGATTGAGGATATTCATCTGAAGCCTACAAGAGTCTTGGATGAAAGAGAATTAATGAAACCAATTAATGGTTTGATAAGTATTTTCCCTACAGCTCCATCAGCCTCAAACACCAACAGCAGATGCGTGGAAGGACATATCACTCCTCTAAAACTGGTGGTTTAAATCTGTGATTTTCAGAGTAAGGTCTGTGGCACTCTGCCAGAGGGTCCCTTAAAAGTTTTCAGATTCATTAAGATAAAAAAATACATTTAGATTGTGTTATAAGATAATGAGACTTAACTCATATAAATTTACATCAAAAGTGTATATAACAAAGGTAAATACAAAACAAGACAGAAAATTAAATAAAATTGAATTAAAATGTGGACAGGAGCAACGTCATCCTAGAAAGTGCACAGTCACAGTAGTTGGAGTGGCTCATAAATCCATCTATTTTTCTATTTTCTATTTATTTGTATATGTCTTCACACTGGCGAAAGCCATGGCCAGAGGCATTATCTTTTTGGGTTGTCCATACATATGTACGTCCCATTCTCGTGAGCATGATATCTCAAGAATACCCTCAGGGAATTTCTTCAAATGTGGCACAAATGTCCACTTGAGGCCCGTTTCCACTGAAGAAGTTCCTGGTACTATTTGGGGGGCAGGAACTACTACAGGAACGTCCTCTCGTTCGGCCCTCTCAACTGCCATGTCTCCACTGAGAGAGCGGAGTCGGAGGAAGGTTCCTGTAAAGTTACGGGCTGCCTCTGGATGTGACATAATCGTTGCGCGACCATTTTGACCGGAGCGACATAGGGACGCCGTTAGCCGATAGCGGTGTGTGTAATAACTCACTAAATGGCCCGTGAAAAAAATATTTTTTCCAGCGGATGTCTTAGTTACAACATGATTGAGCTAACTGGAGTAGATTCATATCGTATCTGACAACGGGA